GGAAATGAATAAACTGCAATCTTTATTCGACAGTTTGCGAATTTTCAAAGTGTGCTGGAAAACGAAGAAAGTTAAAACAGAATCGTGGGTCCAACAGCCATCAACGAGATTGAAGTTTCCGTCCATAAACCAGGTGCTGCTCTGGTAATAACTTCAAGCACGTTGCGCTTTAAGCAAGTAGTCGTTTTTGAGTTTCTGGGCCAGTACTGTAGCACGGAAAGCACTCCGAAAGGTCGCCTGCAGCGATAGTTCTAGGTGCCGAAATAACAAGGTCCCTAAGGCTGACAGGATTCGGTGGGTACCCCTTGCTTCACTGGTGACGAGTGTATCGTTTCACGCTCTGCTCACTGCCTATGCGCTTTTTTTTTATTATGGTTTGTGACGGCTACTGTGACAATGGCGGCAGGTTTCTCTCGAGACAAGTTTAGTCTCTTTCATTTGCTGCCTTGTTCTTGCGATATTAATCGCACTATTATCATCAGGGTGGTTACGGTGAACGATTAAGTGGTAGTCCGTCGCTTGAAGATTTCTCCGTAATACGTGCACATGTTTTTTTCTTTCTTTGAGAAATGAAGAATTAGCGACTGGAAGGCGCCACTTTCGATGGTTTTCTTGTTGTGGGTGCGTTTTTTTTTTTTTGACAGTGCAATTGGGGACTTTTTTTTTTTTGAAACATTTATTCAGAAGATGTATCTCCCGGAAACGTTTCTTCTGCGTACGTTCTTTCCGGAACCCAAAAAAATCTATTTTGTGGTCGTGAAATGTTTTCATTCTTTTTTTTTCTCTTGCATGTAAGGTTTTCTGACGAGCGTGTTTGCCTCAGGTGGAAGTTATTACGCGAACGTCCACATTTTCTAAAGCGCTGACTTCAACCCGCAGGTCCGTTTATTACAGAAAATAAAGTTGAAAAAACAACACTTATTCCAATAACCCGCCAGGTTCGTCTATACTGGCTGTGGTGCTCTAGTGCTGACTCCAAAGGTCGTGGTATCAAATCCCGGCAGAGGTGATCACACTTTCTATGGATGCGAACGTGCTTGAAGCCCGTGTGTGCCCGTTGGAGAACCCCAGGGGTTCGCAATTATCAGCGACCTCAAATACGACTTCCTTTATAATCATATCGTGGCTTCGGGGCGTAAAACATTGACAGTTATAATGATTCAGTGGAGTCGCCCCGCAAATGAACACGCGAGACTGCGTATAGACAATGTATATGTGCACTGCTCATACAGGCGCAAATTATTTTCTAATGAACAAATCGTCAAGCGCGCTTCGCGAAGAGACACCATCACCGTACTGTTGCGAAATTTTGTCCTCCTTGACAGCACGCTGTATAAAAAGAAGAAAATAAAAAGCCAGGCGGGATGAAAGAATGGCTCCATTAGGCTCCACAAAAAATAAACAAGAAAGAAGGGGGGCGGGGAGTGAAGAGAGACACGATATAAAATAGCAGCAAGCTACGTAGACTTTTACAGCTGTGAGATCATTTACAACGACGGTCTGCCGAGTGCCTCACAGCGGGCGCTGCAGTCCTCTCTAGAAGAACATTTTTTTTTTTTTTTGTGCAGACAGCGTTGTCTTTGTTCGCTTGATCATTGTCGTGCCGCCGAGATACGCCCAGTTGTCACGTCCTTCAGAGTCCGCATGTCGTACAAAACTCTGCATAAATTACAAAGCTTCCATGGCGCGTGTTTTACCAGCGAAATATTTTTTCATTACCCGTCAATGCATTGTTCTTTTTTTTAATGTCAGTGTAATCTGTAAGGGATCTACTCAAGTGGCACTAATTCTTATGAAAGAAAGAAATAAATTGTTTCAGGATACTATAATGGTTAACGAGTTCGGCTCAGAACTGCATGGTTAAACCATTAAAACGGTTATGAACGAAGAATTTTTCATGAGTTTCCATATGCCTGAATAAAACAGAAGGTGACGAAACAGGCTCGCTGCGAGGATTCCATAATACCGACAGTTCAACGACAAGGACGACCGGAGTAGTGTCAATAAAACACACAAAAAGGACAAAACGTCAAGCATGATCATAATCAAAAATGAAAAGGCTAGAGAGAGAAAGGGTAAAAATAAAAGGAAGGCAAGGAGGTTATCCTAGACTGAGCCCGGTATGCTATACTGCCCTGAGAAAGGTGGAGGAGGACAGAAAGATTGTATACGAAAGAAGCTCAGAGCTGGAAGCTCGTGTGTTCACAGGCTTAAGGCACACAACCACGATGGCTTCTACAGACGCTTCATACTTACGTAATTAATCAATGAGTTCCCTGCACGGGTAACAAGAGTTACCTTCAGACATATGAACCTTCGCACTGGCGGTACGCCTAAAAGGCAGACGAAGGTCTGCGGTCTATGAACGGGTTAGGAGCAGCACTGTGCCCTTGGCTCAACCGATGGCGAAGTTAATTAAGTCTCTTCTCAGCTGCGATTCGACCTCCTTTTCACCACGACATCTACTCGCTAAAAGTTGCCTCTGGAAGAGACGGCCCACGCTAACAGCCACGCAACTAGCACGGGGATTCCATTTCAGCGGCTCTTTGATGGAAGACAGCCCTCTGTCGCTTCGTTGCATTGACACCATTCATGATATCCACCGTGCTGAAATCTCCGGGGATGTTGCTGCGTGTTATTTTATGCGTAAAAACTGCAAAATGGGTAAGCACTACACGGGAAAAATTCTTACGCGAAGCTTTCTGCGATGCTGCTTGGCATAGTGAAAATGTGCGTGTACTCGGACACTTATGTGATGTTTATCTTGTGAATTATTTTAGTAAGGATACAGCCTTATTAGATATTCGGGAGGGATGCTTTTGTTATTACAATAAAATACCATGGGATATATGAACAGGTAAATGTTAAGGGTCGTAACTAACCTACTGTCGAGGTCAAATAGAACGAGAACAGCGGAACGTGTGGATCAAGCATTAGCAAAGGTACAGTGAGCGCAACAGCGATCCCATCGACAGGCGCGTACATTCGGTTTGGCAGCAGGGCGCGATCCCCCTACAGACAGATATTTTCGAGAATGTTCTCGTTTCGATATTCGAAAGGAACTAAAAGGTATAAAGAAAGAAAAGCAAGCAAAAGCGCAGCAGCCACAGCTCACCCACGCCAGACCGCCCACGCCAGCCACCATGTTTACCATATCAGAACAAGAACAAAAAATATAGGTAGATAGCGCAGTGCTGCCAAGCCCAATGAGCCCGACTGTCAGTGGTGATGGCTTGATCCACACGCTCCACTGGCTTTGCTGTTCGCATTCCGATTGGCAGCGATGGTACTATATTCTGAATGGAGAGTTAAAGTGCGTAAGTAACGTTTATCTTTGAATGTCTACGAGAGATACGCTGTCATAAGGGGCTCACTTACTATGCTTCTATACTGTGCTTCTATACTGTGCTTTATTGTATTCAATGTTAAGGACACATAGCCCCGCTATTCTCAAAAGCTCTCAGCTCGAAATTGTTGCTTGTCTTCCAGGTCGAGCAAAGACCCTCGTACTGAAAGAGACGCTACATTTTGAAGAATTGCTGTGGGGCGTCTATGAAGCACAGTTACCATTCCTCTCGTATAAGGGCGGCACTGCTGACTTTCTCATGTTGAGGGAAAATATAAAGTACAAAAATGTTCCAGAATGCGGAAATTCATCATCTTGCTTTCTTTCTATAAACTGTCCGCCGTGGTAGTGTAGCGGTTAGAGTGTTCAACTGCTGACCAAAAGGCCGTGGGTTCGATCCCTGCAATGGTCGTGTCATATTTTGATGGAAGCAAAATGGTAGAGCTCGGTGTACTGTGCAATGTCAGTGGACGTTAAAGAAAATCAAATGCTCGAAACTTCCGTATTCCTCTAGAACGGCGTCTATCATAATCATATCATGGCTTTGAGACGTCAATCCTCAGATATTATTTCTTTTTTTTTTCTGAATTGCTCAAGAAGTCTCTCTAATGTTCTCGCTGAAACAGATTCACCGAGGCTATAGCAGCAATAAAACTTTTGATATGAGGTAAACCATCAGAGGTCTTATAACACACGTGAGGATGTTGGCCACTTCTCATTCTTTACACTCATCGTTACTCGCGCAAGCGGTCAGAATGAAACTACAGAAACCGAACAATTGCACGATTCAACCAAATATTTTCGAAATTTCTCAATGGTCATAATAATCATGACGGAAGTGGAGTTGTCCTTCAAATCCTATAGGAGACCAGCGCTTGAAAGGTGGTAAGCAAAAAAAAAAGGGGGGGGAGGGGGGAGTCATGACATAACGCTGCCGCTCGCTCACGCTGACGACCGACCGCAGTGTATGCCGTAGCGAGCGTTCATATACGTGCGCCGTTCCCACGCTTTGCTTTGGCAAGAACAGCTCGAACAGCCCTTGCACCCTTAATACTGCAGGGTGGTTCACTTTGTCACTTGCCCCGCTGTGGTGGTCTAGTTGCTAAGGTATATACTCGGCCACTGACCAGCAGGTCGCGTGATCGAATCCCGGCGGCGGTGTCTGCATTTTCAATGGAGGCGGAAATGTTGTAGGCCCGTGTGCTCAGATTTGGGCGCAGGTTAAAGAACCCTGGGTGGCCTGAATTTCTGAAGACCTCCACTACGGCGTCTCTCATATTCATATGGTCGCTTTGGGACGTTAAAGTCTACATATTAATCAATCTATTTGTTCCTTGATGTGACTTTATCTTGAGGCAACTTTCACAGGAAGGCGCTGGGAAGCGGTGAAAAGCTTTGAAAAGCGTATTACGTCAGCGGGAGTGGAGGGGATGAGCGCGCTTTGACCGACAGTGATCACGCTTTCACCGCGGACAACGAGCGTGTAAAAACGGGGCGCTCTTGCAGATACGGATGATGAATTTTGCCCGGCTGCAAAGCAGCGACAGAAAAAAGAAAAGCGTCTAGACGACGGCCACGCGGGGTCGTTCATTCTTGCTAAGAACGGTCCAATGCCTCTCAGCCTTGTGATATTGAGCCACCACGTGTGTTTCGTTTATCTGCGCGCTTCCGTCACTGAGCCGCTGCACTGGCCACGGCCGCACAGGCCGCCAAAGGCCTGGGCCTTGCCCGAGATTACACGCATCTGCGAAAGACAGCTTTTACACGTAGTGCGTGTGCGACTGCACACCATTTGAAACACGTGCGTCAGGTCACTGCAAAAACATCAGGCTTCGTGACCTCTAGGATGGCTGTTCAGCGGGAAACATAAGTTCACGCCTTTTTCATCGAACAAGCTTGGTAAGTACGAAATCACTCATTGTGGTAAAGGGCCTTTTTTTTTGCAAGTATCTAGCAGGCTAAGTTGCACGTGCCCTTCCCTTTACTTACTTTTTTTATTTCTAGCATAATTCACAGCGCCATCTTAGGCATTATTGCGGAGGGCACAGTGCTTCAAAAATAAATCCGCAGTCTTGCGGCCAACTAAATCGGCTGGTAACATATTCCAATCGACAATGGCTTGTGGAAAAAAGAATGCCTAAACTGTAAAGCACGCGGCTTTAGCTTTGCGTGGCATTGCTGGTGCATGTGTAAAGGCACAGGGTAGGTATATTTAGTGGTACACGTGTACCGTGCCCATTTTAAAGAAATTATCAATATTTAATTGTGTCGCTCTAACATATGGTACAATCTATACCGAGATACATCTAGAAGAAATCGATTTTATGTTTTTACTTCTTTACGACATGTGAAGAAGACATTAAATGGGATTTCGCACGTGCTTTGATTACTGTTCGCTATCCATTGTAGTGACCTAACTTGGCGCTTCGAAAACATAGCTGAAATATATATGTGACGTCTCCCATTTCATTGATTGATTGATATGTGGGATTTAACGCCCCAAAACCACCGTAATATTATGAGAGACGCCGTACTGGAGTCCCCCACAAATTTCAGGTCAACTGGGGTTCTTTAACGTGCACCCAATCTCAGCACACGGGCCTACAGAATTTTTGCCTTCATCAAAAATGCAGCCACCTGCAGGCAGCCGGGATTCAATCCCGTGACCTGCGGCTCAGCAGCCGAGTAGCCACTATAGACCACCGCTGCGGGTCATGTCTAATTTGACCCGTTTACTAAACATTCACTTGCAACACACACAGAGATTTTTGCTGCCCTTATTACTCACTTTTTTTTGAACAAATCATATATGGATTGTATTTTGGCTTATTATGTTAGCCCTAACAGGGCAGCTATCTCACTGCTACAGCTGCACATAGGCAGCACTCTACTGTTTATTGCAGTGAAGCTTTTATTTGAACAAGTGGTGTCAAACGTTTTGGGTACACCTGATTATCAATGCCACGAAATCGCGTTGGCTGATGTATACCTGTTGCAGGTCGCCTTCGTGTGTGTTCGACACGAATGGAGATTAGTTATTTGCGCAGCAAATAGCAAGTCCCGTGCATTGAATGCTCAAAGCGTTTCGAAAGCAGTGCTCGTCTTCTTGTGTCCTCCCCTTACTCTGTCTTCGTTTATTGCGCTGTTAACCTCGACCAGCTATGAATCGTTACTAACTTTACCAGTTTTCCATATTACTCGAAAAGTAAGCAGCACCATTTAATTTATAGGTAACTTTCCTGTGCAGAATTTTTTTTGTTTGGTGCCACCTGAGGACAGTGGTACATGTACTACTGTATATGGCACGCTGTAAAGACAGTGGTACACATATGAACCACTTTATTCCCAGAATATATTCTGCGGACTTTCTTGCAAATAGTTTTGAGACGTCTCCACTACGCCACCAATCGCCAAAGAGAGGGAAGACCCCTCAACCCCCTTTTTATCCGGTTCCCTCTTGGCTACGTGTCTCAATCACTTTTCACATACAGGGATTCGTGCTGGGGCCGGGAAGTAAGAGACGTCACGATCTTTTCTTAATCATGGACGCATTTAATTCAATAACAAGTGCAAATGGCGTACACACATACTGTCCGTGAACGACATCTCTGTTACACGAAATTGTAACACATCAGCAAATACTCGCGACACGCGAAACAGGATACATAAGCGAAGTAACAGTGACAATACAAGGGTGCCTCAATACAGAGTAAACATGCGACGACACAAGTGATAAATTCATTAATTAATAAAACCGCGCAATGTCTCAATATGCCGCATCCCTTCCCGCAAAGATTGTTTAAGTAAGGGAGGTGAAGTTCATCTCACAGAATGTCCATGTAGTCGGGGCCTCGGAGTTGGCTGCTCGAGTCGGGGTCGAAGGTTGGTTCTTGGCGTCGAAGTGTGATCTGTCCAACTCGTCAGCGTCTTCATCGTCTTCGTCATCGTCGCCTTCGTCGTGCCTCTCAGTGATTTCCATATTAGCCCTCTTTCATAACGCTCTAATCACTCGCCTCCTATCCCTAACTTTCACTCCTAATCGTACCGTCCTTGCCCAAGTCATCATCTCATCGCCTCTCATCGCTATCTCTTCGCACCGTTCTCTTCCTTTTCCATTCCATCTCTCTACCATCTCGAGCTCATCGCATCGTATCTCTGACTCTCCTCGTATCTTCTCGTAGTCCCTTTTTGTAGGACCCGACTCCGCCCCTCCGTGGCACCTAACCAATTGCCACTGTTGACACGACAAATTTCTCTGTCAGTCGGAGTGTATCATCTTCGACGGCCACCCCCGCGGCCCACACCAGTAGAAAACTCTCTGCCAAACAAAGCCGAGCAAGTAACAATGTACAAACTCAAGCCTCAGAGAGAGAGATGGGCAGCTGTGCCAAGACACTTTAATTACGGGCGAACAATGGTCCCGATGCTTCCGACAAAGTGCGTCGTCTGTGATGGCCAACGTCCGGAGTTTGCAGTGTTGTGCCAAAATGTTTTCGGCCGAATGAATTGTCCCGGCTCCTGGTACTTGATGAGCCGATGTCCAGAACGAGTCACGACGTTTCCATGCAGCTTGGTGTCTTCCGCGAAATTCTCCGTATCCGCCGCTTCTTCGTCATTCAACGCCGCGGGTGGCCATCCGGCAGAACGCAGTAATGAGCCCTGGAGCCATGGAAGCTGACGGAAAGCCAGACCGGACCCGGCACAAGCGCTGCGGCAGGGTCGCATTCCCCGAACACACAAAAGGTGCTCTGCTGCTCCCCCATGCCACAAATCTGAAGGGCGCGTGGATTATTTCCACCGTACACTGTCACACTGTCTGTAGACGACAAGGCGCCGCCCGGTCCTCGTGTTTGCGCGGGAATGGGGGGGAGGGGCGAGAACAGTAGAAATAATCCTTCCCAGTACTCCACTCCGGAATGCCCATTCGTTACACCGAAGCTTTTTTTTCTTCCTTTTTTTATGCGTGGGTTGAAGAAACGAGCGAAAACATCTTGAAAGGACCGGGGTTCAGTCCATGTTTGCGGACACGTCACAGTTTCAAGAACTTTTCTTAGGTCATCCCAAATGCTGTTCTGCCAATTTGAAGAAAAACGTTAGGTAGTGCTACACAAACGGTTAAGAGACAATGTGGTAAGCAACTAAGTTCCCACTTGTTCCGCCAGCATTCCCGCTCCTGTTGTCTTATTTCGAGATACTCAGGATCATGCTCCGCTCGTCAGTGTCGTTTTGCTCTTTCGTTATCGCGGTATTTCGGATTCGCTTTCCACCGACTACTGTTTTCCGACATGGCTGGGAAACGCATTTCTCGTTGCGCGGCTCCTTCCTCAGGAGTGCATACTTCCATGGGTCTATCCCTGGTAAATCCAAGGTTAAATCAGCGGCATGGACTCAAAGAACCATCCTTTATGCAAGTGGTTTACGTCACGATCATTTGATTTGTAGTGGGCGCACAACCCAGCCGTAACCGATCGCACCTGTGCTTCCTTTCTTTTAGTGCAGTCACGGGATGCGATGACGAGAGTAGATATCGGCGAAGTAGGCCTAAGTCACGTGGTTCTCAGTGACGTCACGGACGAGAGCGAGTGCTGCCACGGTGCGCCCGGTTTCCGTGGCGACGCGCAGTGATGTCCTCGCCAGGGGCAGGGGCTTTCTGATTCCGCAGACACATGACGACGGCCTTTTATTAGCACCGCTGGTAAAAGCATTAGATGCCTATGTTTTCTGTTGGCGTATATCTGATACGCAGTGATTGATGTAGTAAGTTGCATTATACGCGAAGCAGCAAGGTTGTCCAATCGGGTGAATTCCCAAAAGGCAATTATAGCAGACAACAAATTCCGGCTGCGGCGGCTGCATTTCCGACGGAGGCGGAAACGTTGTAGGCCTGTGTGCTCAGATTTGGGTGCACGTTAAAGAACCCCAGGTGGTCGAAATTTCCGGAGCCCTGAACTACGGCGTCTCTCATAATCAAATGGTAGTTTTGGGACGTTGAACCCCACATATCAATCAATTATAGCAGACAACTAAGTTTACAAGGTATGTGACAGCATTTGATGTACAACACCTTTTCACCACTCAACGTGGACGAAGTAGCTGCCGAGAGATACTGCATCAAAAAATACTTTCACTCGCACCTTTCTACCGTGACATGCGTCACGTTCCGTTACTGCTTTCTTTATAGTATGGGAAAGTTCCCCTACACGTGCCGCTGTGCCCGTTTTTTCAATTACTGACACAACCTCTTGGCAATTCTTACAACAAAACCTTCTGTTATAGCTCAACGAAAGTAACATTTCGCTTCTTTATCAAGACGAAACCATTATACGTATCATAAGCAGGTGACGTTCAACAAACATCCAGTATGAGTGCAATAACGCAAAAAAACGCACTTCCAATGGCAAAGAAATGAGTATGATAGCAACTAATTGTGATGTTATATCAAGTAAGGCTTGCAGCTAACTCTTGTATATCTGATCTTGTGTGCCCAAAGGGGTGATATATAGAAGCTGGCATTATACACCTCATTCAATCTTTCGTACTAGGCCACATTCCCTATGCTTAGGCCTATACCACAGATGGTTCACTGTATAAAAGACAAAACTCAACAATATCATTAGGAGAACCTCCAAGCAAGTACTAGGTTTACCGCAATGCGCGAGCCCAGACTTCCTCCTTCGACTGCGATTGAGGAGCTAATCGAGGCACAACAAATTTATTAAAACGAGTGATTGGTCAAGACTAATCCAGGCCGCCAGAATCTCAAAAATCTCGGAATCTTTTAGCGTGCTCATTACGGAGACAAACATGAGATATCAAGCACTATACGTACTAAACTCACAGTTGCATTCATACCCGAACACCGAGGGTAAAAGGAGCCATAGCCATGAGCCAACTCTCTG